ACCAGACAGCTGTTCGATCATTTTTAATTTGAAGCTCATCTGTGCAAACACAACTTCCAAGCAGTTTTTTTTTTCTTTGTTTTTGTGCCAGTCCTAGGGCTTAACCTCAGGACCTGGGTGCTGTCCTTGAGCTTTTGTACTCAAGGCTAGTGCTCTACCACTTGAGCCACAACATCATGTTTTTTTTTTCCTGCTTATGTGGTGCTAAGGAATTGAACCCAGGGCCTCGTGCATGCAAGGCAAGCGCTCTATCTACCAATGAGCCACCTTCCCAGCCCCGAAAAATCAATCTTGTATAAAAAAAAAATCCAAGAGTGGGCCAGGATGGAGAAAAGAGGGAGAGATGATGGAAGGGGTGACACCAATCAAGATGCACCGCACTCCTACGTGACTTCTAGAACTGAAACCCCTTTGCACAACTATTAATGTTTTTTTGAAAATCAATTTTTTCTTTAGAATTTAGTAATGAATATAATCCAATTTGAAAGTGAGCAAAAAAATATAAAATGAACTATATAAGCTTGTCTCTGGGGGCTCCTTCCTGAAATGCTAGCTACTCAGGAAGCTTAGCTTTGAGGATTACAGTTCAACACCAGCAGAAGTCTGTGGGACTCTTATCTCCAATAAACTACTCAGAAAAAGCCAGTAGTAGTACAGTGGCCCTGTGGCTCAATTGGTAGAGCTATAGCCTTGAGCTGAAGAGCATAGGGACAGTACCCAGGCCCACAGTTCAAGTCCCACGACCAACACCACCCCCCACCCCCACAAAAAAAGAAGCAGCTTAGGGTCAGTGCCCAGGCCCTGAGTTCAAACCCCCAGGACTAGTCAAAAAAAAAAAAAAAGATCAAAGAGAATTCTCTTATAACCCAGCAATTCTACAACTAAGGAAGTCAACAACATATATTCATACAAAACCAAAACCATATATACAGCCGGGCGCTGGTGGCTCACGCCTGTAATCCTAGCTACTCAGGAGGCTGAGATCTGAGGATCGTGGTTCAAAGCCAGCCCGGGCAGGAGAGACCGTGAGACTCCTATCTCCAATAAACACCAGAAAACCGGAAGTGGCGCTGTGGCTCAAGTGGTAGAGCGCTCGCCTTGAGCTGAAGAGCTGAGGGACAGTGCCCAGGCCCAGAGTTCAAGCCCCACGACCGACAAAAAAAAAAAAAAAAAAACATATATACAAAACTGGAAGAAAGTGAGGAAAGAGCTGACACTGTCCAAAAAGAAATTACCTGACTTAGGTAACTGTAACCCCTCTCTTTTATATAACAATATAAAAAAGAAAAGGAAAAAATATACAAAAACAGAGCATTATGTATAAAAGTCAAAAATGTGCAATTAACTAATAGGCCTTCAAGTAATGAATGAATAAAATGTGGTATGTCTACACAATGGAATACTACTTGGCAAGAACAAGTAATGATACGCTGATGTTACAACATAAAGAAGGCAGGGAAACATTTCTCGTTAAGCGGAAGAAGCCAGATACAAAAGGCCACAAATTGTCTGGTTCCACTTATATGAAATACTAGGACAGGGAGACCCACAAATAGAAAGCTGTGCTTCTGGGGGAAAAGCTCAGTGGTACGGCACTTGCCTAGCGTATGTAAAGCCCTGGGTTCGATTTCCAGCACCTCAATAAAACAAAACACACAAAAAACAGATTAGAAGCTGGGTGCTGGTAGCTCAAGTCTATAATCCTAGCTAATCAAGAGGCTAAGATCTGAGGATCCTGGTTTGGAGCCAGGCTTGGCAGGAAAGTCTGTAAGACTCTTATCTCTAATTAATCAAAATGCTGGAAGTAGAGAAATGGCTCAAGTGGTAGAGCCCTGGCCTCAAGTATAAAAGCTCAGCCAACAGTGCCCAGGCCCTGAGTTAAAGACTTAGAACTGGCAAAAAGAAAAAAAAGAAAAGAAAAAATAGACTGGGATAGAGTTTCAGGAAGAATTGTTTTCTTCCCAGTCTCTTTATGAAGCAGGATGGAACTCGGTGGTCTCTCTGAGGCTACCAAGTGCAGGTCAGGCTATGAAGAGTAGGAGTTTCACTCTGAAGTTCTGGCTACCTGAGTGAGGCCGCTTCTCTTGGTCAGCTTCACCCTGGTCTGGTCCAGGCAGGGCACGTCCCCATAACGGTTCTTCTCTAGGTTCACTGGAGACCTAAAGGCAATGAGGGATTGAAGTGAGAATAGAGAACGTGGAAGGACAGAATGTACGGGTAGTAGACGAGGAATACAAAACTGGGTGTCCCAACTGCAGGGAGGGGCCTTGGGCACTTTTCAGTCTCTAATCTACACGGATCCACAGCATTTCCCCTTTTCTGCTCTGCTTGTCTGTGGGGATTGACTCCAGGGCCACACAGACTCTAAGCACGTGCCCTCCCACCCAGCTAGTCTCTCAACCCTGTTGAACTTTTTTTTTTTTTGTCGGTCGTGGGCCTTGAACTCTGGGCCTGGGCACTGTCCCTCAGCTCTTCAGCTCAAGGCGAGCACTCTACCACTTGAGCTACAGCGCCACTTCCGGTTTTCTGGTGGTTTATTGGAGATAGGAGTCTCACGGTCTCTCCTGCCCGGTCTGGCTTTGAACCTCGATCCTCAGATCTCAGCCTCCTGAGTAGCTAGGATTATAGGCGTGAGCCACCAGCGCCCGGCGTGTTGAACATTTTTCATCGGTACCTAGTACTTATAGAAATGAAGGCTCCAAAAGAATTAAGACAGAAGTAATACCATTAAGTAGTAAGGGGCTGCTGTAAAAAGTACCTATAAACGCCAGGTGCCAGTGGCTCCCACCTGTAATCCTACCTACTCAGGAGGGTGAGATCTGAGGATCATTGCTTGAAGCCAGCTAGGGGCACACAAATCCTTGAGACTCAAATTTCCAATTAACCAGCAAAAAGCTGGAAATGGAACTATCACTCAAGTGGTAAAGTGCTAACCTTAAGCTCAAAAGGTCAAGAACAGCGCCCAGGCCCAGAGTTCAAGCCCCTAGTACCAGCACAAAAGTAATACAACAACAACAACATCAACAACAACAACAGCAACAACAATCCTACAAATGCATGAAGCCCTGGGTTCAATTCCTCATTACCACACTGAGCTCAAGCCCCAGGACTGGCACGCGTGCGCACATGCATGCACACCCAAAGTCTGACAGGGACTTTTTTGTCTGGGCTGGCTTTGAGCTGCAATCCTCAGATCTCAGCCTCCTGAGCAGCTAGGATTATTGGCGTGAGCCACCAGCGTTTGGCTACACTCCATTTCTAATAATCAGCAAAAAGTAGAGTTAGAGGGAGGTATGACTCAAGTGATAGAGCACCATCCTAGGAAGCATGATTCAAACATTAATACTGTAGGGAAAACATAAAAATAAAAACATTCTTAGACTTCCTTCTTCTCCCTGGAAGGCAAAGTGGGATATAAGGCTTTTAAAAGAGTAACTGAAAATCAGATGACGGAGTTAGAACCCCTGCCCATTCCTGATGTTCTATCCTACACTCACACCCAGGCCTGAATCCCACCAGGCAAGAAATAGGAAAACTGTACCTGGACAAAATGAGAAGCCATTAGTAAAAAGAGTTCTACCATTTGGAGTATTCTTAACCAGACAGCTGTTCGATCATTTTTAATTTGAAGCTCATCTGTGCAAACACAACTTCCAAGCAGTTTTTTTTTTCTTTGTTTTTGTGCCAGTCCTGGGGGCTTGAACTCATGGTCTGGGCACTGTCCCTGAGCTTATTTTGATCGAGGCTCTATCACTGGAGCCACAGCACCACTTCTGGCTTTTTTTTTTTTTTTTGGGGGGGGGTGTTGTGGGCCTGAACTCTGTCCCTGAGCTCTTCAGCTCAAAGCCAGCACATTACCACGGGAGCCACAGCGCCACTTCCCGTTGTAATTGGAGATAAGAGTCTCATGAACTTTCCTGACCAGGCTCGCTCTGAACTGTGATCCTCAGATCTTAGCCTCCTGAGTAGCTAGGATTACAAGCATGAGCCACAGGTGCCTGGCCCAAGCAGTTTTTAAAGACCCCATTCCTCAGTGCAAATTAAGAGCCAAGGTTCTCCAGATAAGTAAGGAAAGCCCTTAATAAGGGATACAAATTTAAATACACATACAACAACAACAAAAAGGAAAGCCAATAAAAGAAAATTATTCAAAAAACAAAACTCAGTATCTTCAAAGAAAATAGATAATACTATTATATGAGAGCAAGAATAAGATGTTCTGAAAGAGAAACAATCAAAGAAGAAAACCTCTTGGAAATTATAAAATATATTCAAGTAAACTACCTTAGTGGTAGTTTACTTACTTGCCTAGCATGCTAAGATTGAGGGTTTGAACCCCAGCAGGGGGAGGAGGAGGAACACCCAGAATAGGAATGGCAAGATAAAAGAGAAAATTAAAGCAAACTTCCCAGAATATGAAACAAAATGCAAAGCAATTAAAAGTATGAAAAAAATCATATAAGTAAGAGAATTATTCTAAAGCAGGGTACCTATGGCTCATGCTTGTCATCCTAGCTACTCCGGAGGCTGAGGTCTGAGGATCACAGTTCGAAGCCAGCCTGGGCAAGAAAATCTGAGACTCTTATCTCCAAGTAACCACCCAAAACAAGCAGAAGTGGAGCTGTGGATCAAGTGGTAGAATCCGAGCCCTGAGTACAAAAGGTCAGGGACAGCACCGTAGGTCCTGAGTTCAAGCTCTAGAGGACCTGCACCAGTAAAGAACAGATTAAAGATCTTAACCTAGGACCTAAAATTTGCAACTACTACAGCAAAGAATAAAGGAAACACTAAAACAGTGACGTAGACAGAAACTTCCTGAACAGACTCCACCAGCTCAGCAAATTAGAGCAAGGGTTAACAAATGTGATTGCAGGGAACTAAAAATAAAACACTTTCACACAACAAAGGAAATAGTCACTAGACAGAAAAGACAGGCTACAGAATGTGAGAAGATCTGAAACTCTGAAACTACTACAGGAAAGAACAGGAAAAACACCAGAACTTTTTGGCATAGGCAGTAGCTTTCTGACTCGCACTGTAACAGCTCAGCAATAGGAGCAAATGGGATTACATGAAGCTGAGAGATTCCGCACAGCAAAGGAAAATAGCCACTAGGCTGAAAAGATAGCCAAGAGAATGGAAGAAAATCTTTGCCATCTATTAGCTGACAAAGAATAGCCAGACACTACTTACTTGTGGGCAGAGACAGGATGGGGAAAACTGGGGGGAAAGCAAAGAAAGGGATGTCATTGTCCAAAAGAGAAAAGTATTCATTACCTAAATGGTGAAATGGTAACTGTACCATAACGATAAAAATAAAATTATATTTAATAAACAAAACTAAACAAGCCAGGCACCAGTGGCTCATACCTGTAATCCTAGATACTCAGGAGGCTGAGATCTGAGGATCATGGTTCAAAGCCAGCCCAGGCAAAAAAGTCTGTGAGACTTTTATCTCCACTTAATTATACAAAAAGCTGGAAGTGGAGCTGTGGCTCAAGTAGTAGAGCCCTAGCCTTGATCAAAAAGGAAACTCAGAGACAGTGCCCAAGCCTTGAGTTCAAGCCCCAAGACAAGCACAAAAAAAAGAAAAAAGAAAAAAAGGAACAAAGACGCACCCCAAACAAGAAAACATGACAACAGGTGTGATGTACCAATGCCTGCCTAAGAAAACACTTGGAAAGAAATAGAGCAACATGGAAAGAGAACTGATTTATGCTTATTGCCAACAAATAGTTACCAAGTCGTTATGAGCCAGATATAAACTAGCAGAGCATTTGCAAGTAGGACTTAGAAGGAAAACTCCAAAAAGGTAAGAGGAAGGGGCGCTGTAGCTCAAAAGGTAGAGTGTTCGCCTTGAGCTGAAGAGCTGAGGGACAGCGCCCAGGCCCAGAGTTCAAGGCCCACGACCGACCAAAAAAAAAAAAAATTATATGTCCAAAAAGGTAAGAGACAAACTCATTTACAATCCTGTCCCTGGATGCTTCTGGCCTCTCAAGATATTGCATTTTTACTACATTGTGAGCTTGACCCTTAAAAAAAGAATCTTGTATTGTAAGAAAATATCCGGAGGTATTTCCATTATTACGGAGACCCGCCAGTTTGAACTTCTGCAATGTCCAGGACAGCGCATGCACACCGGCCGTCCGGGTGGTCAGGCCTGCAACCAGTTAGCACAGAAGAGGCAGTAGGTGCAGAGCTGCAGCTGGGCCTGCCACGTGTGGTGCCCCCACTTACATGGAGCAGTGGAAGGTGCCCACGGGGTGCTCCCGCCGGATATCCTCATACTCCTCGTATATGCCACGCTTCTGCCGCGCGTTGACGTAGTGCACCAGCTCGTGGATGGTCATGGCATGGGGGCCGGGCACGTGCACTGAGGCCAGGTCGCAGGCAGGAGGTAGGGAGAACAGGATGATCTCATCCAGGGGGTCGGGGTGGCCATTCACCTGGGGTAGGAACTGGAAATTCCAATTGGCCAGGTCAATTTTGACGTACCCACCCAGGTTTTCTGGAAGGCACTCCCTGGGCAGGTGCTGGGTCACCTCAGATGTCTTTAGTATCTGAATCTGGAAGGCAGAAAGAAGAGAGATATTGGGGGGGGGGGTGAGGGTTAACACAGTGATGACAAACAGCTCACGTGCTACCACTCAGCTTAGATTTTTAGATTTGCTGGAAATTCTGGTAGAGTTGTGAAACCAGTAGACTGTACTTCATCTACCTAGGAATGACCTCCTAGAATTTCTCCGACAAAAGTTTGAATTCAGCTAGGCACTGGTGGCTCACACCTGTAATCCCAGCTACTCAGGAGGCTGAGATATGAGGATCACAGTTCAAAGCCAGCCCAGGCAGAAAAAGTACCTGAGACTCTTTTCAATTTTCTGGTGAGAAAATCAGAAGTGGAGCTGTGATTCAAGTGGTAGAGCACTAGCCTTGAGCAAAAGAGCTCAGGGACAGCACCCAGGCCCTAAGTTCAAGCCCCCCCCCAAAAAAAGAAGTTTAAATGCCCAAAATATCTTACAAATTCACTCCTTGGAATTCGGGGGCCTAGAACATACCTTCTGAAAGCAAGGTACAGTGCACAAAGGTTTTGTACTGTGTAAGTACCTCAGTGCTACCCATGTTAGTACTCTTCACTACAAAGAGCACAACAGGTAGTGGTTATTTTGGTCACCCCCACACAAGCCTGTTAGCTTGTATTTCGCTCACAGCTTGGTATAGGCATTCCCAAAGGTGAATTCTATGAAAGCAAGATAAGCCATTTACCTAGAGGCAGAGTAGCACAGGAACAATGTCAGGCAAGTCATCATAATATGTAATTATACTCTTAAGACACAAGCCTCAAGCTAGTCTGGTTGGCTCTTCTTATAATCTGTGTGGACTAGGAACAGTGATCTCCTTAAAAACTTGTATCCCCCTTTCTAGTGCCTCTTCTTCTTTTTTTCGGTAGGTTGTGGGGCCTGAACTCTGGGCCTGGGCACTGTCCCTCAGCTCTTCAGCTCAAGGCTAGCGCTCTACCACTTGAGCCACGGTGCCACTTCTGGCCCTTCCTGCTTATGCGGTGCTGAGGAATGGAACCCAGGGCCTCATGCATGCAAGGCAAGCACTCTACCACTGAGCCACCTTCCCAGTCCCAGCTAGTGCCTCTTCTTGGAAGGCCCTCCTCTCCCCTGTGTCTCACCTGTCCTCTGAAGCCCTTTTTGAGTGCCTGAGGCAGAATTTTCCTCTAGGCCCTTTGTGTTCACTCAGGACCCTATGCTCCTGGAGGCACAGGGCTCACTGAGAGCTTAATTCCCAGAATCCACTGCTTTTGAGTTATGCATGATTGTATATTTCCTCTAATTTAAATGCAAGAACATGCCTGGTGTAGTGCTGCACACCTATAACACACTGGAGGGGGGAGTTATTTTAAGAATCATCTCTCGGCTGGGCACTGGTGGCTCTTGCCTATAATCCTAGCTACTCAGGAGGCTGAGATCTAAGGATAACAGTTCAAAGCCAGCCTGGGCAGGAAAAGTCCATGAGACTCTTATCTCCAATAAACCACCAGAATACTGGAAGAGGCGCTGTAATAGAGCACTAGCCTTGAGCTGAAGAGCTGAGGGATAGCACCTAAGCCCAGAGTTTAAGCCCTATGACCAAGCCAAAAAAAAAGAACCATCTCTCAGGCTGGGATGTAGCTCAGTGGCAAAGCACTTGTGTAGCAAGTGCCATATCCTGGGTTCGATCCCCACTACTAAAAAAGAAGGCAAAAACAAAACAAAAAGTTAAAAAAGAATCATCTGTCCCACTCTGTCTCACTAGGCAATTAAGACTTCACAGCACAAATACCTTTACATTAGCTTGTCTGATCCATGGCCTCAGTTACCAGTATCCTCGGTATTCATCTTATTTCCTAATTCACAATTTAAATTGCTGTACCAAAACTTTAACTTGGTCAACTACATTGTTTGGGGTTTTTTTGGTCATGAGGCTTGAACACAGGGCCTGGGCGCTGTCCCTGAGCTCTTCTGCTCAAGAGTATCACTCTACCACTTTCAGCTACAGCACCACTTCTGGTCTTCTGTTGCTCATTGGAGATAAGAGTCTCACACTGAGCTGGCTTCAAATCTTGGTCCTCAGACCTCAGCCTCCTGAGTAGAATTACAGGCATGAGCTACCAGTGCCCAACTAAAAAACAATTTTGTTTAAGGTAGAAAACTAATTTATGGGTTTTCACTAACAGATAGATGGGAATGTGTTGATCTACCTTCAAGTAAGGGAAGGTAAGCCTGCCTTACCCTCTCCCGGACTTTGTCCTTCAGGAGCAGGCTGATGATGGAGTAGGGAACTCGGAACCATATAGGAGCTCCCACAATCAGTACCTTCTTCAGGCGAGCTGGGAATGCCCCCTATGGAGAAAACACAGCAGGTTTTAAGGGCACACCTACAGCTTCAAGTATAGCTTTTCTTCACTCCTTCGCATTCTGACCCAGCAGGAACTCCATAGCCTAATTTACCTTCTATCTAATTAGCCAGAGGAAAAATGGCCGAAAGAAGTAAAGAAATGTGAAAGTGATTTACCTTTGCAAGGAATGCTAGCCCGTCCGGTGCCAGTGGCTCACACCGGTAATCCTAACTTCTCAGGAGGCTGAGAGCTGAGAATCACGGTTAGAAGCCAGCCCAGGCATAAAAGTCTGTGGATTTCCTATCTCCAATTAACTACAAAAAAGCTTTGAGCAAAAAAAAAAAGATCAGGGACAGTGCCCAGCCCTGAGTTCAAGACCCAGGACAAGAAAAAAAAAAAGACCTCAAGATTCTATCTCAAAGATAGCCACCAAAAAAGACACACTGTGTAGGTATGGCTCAAGTGGTAAGAGTGCCAGCTGACAAAGCAAGCCAAGAAAGTATGAGGCACCGATTTCAAACCTCCATACCACCAAAATAACAAAATAACCATAGTATATAGAACTAGAGGTATGGATCAAGCAGCAAAAACATCAGCTGGTAAGCATGAAGCCCTAAGTTCAAAATACACTAGTCAATTTATAAAATAAGAAGAACATTCAAAGCAGCAGAATTTAGGGAATAACTGAAATAGCCATTTGTTTTTCTTTTGTGCCAGTCTTGAGGCTTGAACTCAGCACCTGGGAGATCTCCCAGAGGTTTAGTGGTCTGTCACTTTGAGCCGCAGCTCCACTTCTGGCTTTCTGGTGGCTCAATGGAGATAAGAGTCTCATAAACTTTCTTGCCCAAGCTGGCTTTGAACTGCGATCCTCAGATCTCAGCCTCCTGAGTAGCTAGGATGACATGCATGAGCTACCAGCACCAGGCTAGAGGGAGCTATTAACAGAAGAGTAAATACGAGTAAACTTTTCATCAATGGAGGACTGAATGGTTCCATCCATCAACAAGAAGGAATGAATCACAGCAATATACCACAATATGAATTTTAGTAATGATGATGAGTGAAAAAAACAAGTTCTAAGCCAGGCACTGGTGACTCACTCCTGTGATCCTAGCTAATCAGGAGGCTGAGATCTGAGGATCACGGTTCAAAGCTAGCCTGTGCAGGAAAGTCCATGACACTCTTTTCTCCAATAAACCACCAGAAAATCAGAAGTGGCGCTGAAGCTCACGTGGTAGAGCGCTCACCTTGAGCTGAAGAGCTGAGGGACAGCGCCCAGGACCAGAGTTCAAGCCCCATGACGGACAAAAAAAAAAAAAAAAAAGAACAAGTTCTAGGAAACAACATACAATGTAAGCTCCTGTTTCTATAATTTCTACTATAGAGTCACAAGAACAAATAAAAGCTATTTCAATAATATTTGCCAGGTGAGATCCTAGAACAAATGCTCCTATAGCAATGTTTTCCAAGCTGCAGGGGGTAATGCAATGAGTACAGAAATAAATTTACAGTTTCACATTTTAGAAATACAAAATAGAAATCCAGGTGCCAGTGGCTCATGCCTATAATCCTAGTTACTCAGGAGGCTGAGATCTGAGGCCAGTCTGGGCAGACAAATCGTTGGGAGATTTTTATCTCCAAGTAGCCAGCAAAAGGATAGAAAAGGAGTGGTGGCTCAAGTGGTAGAACACCTTGAGCAAAAAACGCCAAGCAAGGGCACAAAGGCCCTGAGTGCGAGTCCCGTACTGGCACAGACACAGGACAGAATAGGATGGGATGGGACCGGATAGAAATCATCTAAGTAATTATACACAGCAAGGGTAGAGCTGCTTCTGTGAAATGTTTTTGCTTTGTAAATACATATACAGGTCTATCCACCCTTATTATAAATTTTGAAATATGAACAACTCAGACAATCTCATCCATTTTCCCCCCAAATTCATTGGGATGCAAAATATGACCAGAAACAGCATAGTCTATTTTATAGCTTTTATCCTTCTTGAGTGCTGGGATAACAGACAGGCACTATCAAGCCTGGATAACCAGGTATCTTTTAAAGTTGAAAAAGTAAGAAACGCCTCCAGATTTTACACATGGGAGTGGCTAACATACATGGGAAGATTGTTATGTCATATACATATAATACTACTTATTTGTATGGATTAAGTTTATATGCATTCCTTTGTACTAAGTTGGCATGTAAAACATATTTCAAGGTGGCTCATACCTGTAATCCTAGCTACTCAGGAGACTGAGATCTGAGGATTGTGGGTCAGAGCCAGCCTGGGGAGGAAAGTCCAGAAGACTCTTATCTCCAATTAACCACCATAAAACCAGAAGTGGGCTGTTGCTTAAGTGGTAGAGCACTAGCCTTGAGCTGAAGAGCTCAGGGAGAGGGCCCAGGCACAGAGTTCAAGCCCCAGGACTGGTTAAAAAAACAAAACAAGCCGGGCGCTGGTGGCTCACGCCTGTAATCCTAGTTACTCAGGAGGCTGAGATCTGAGGATCTCGGTTCAAAGCCAGCCCGGGCAGGAGAGACCGTGAGACTCCTATCTCCAATAAACCACCAGAAAACCGGAAGTGGCGCTGTAGCTCAAGTGGTAGAGCGCTCGCCTTGAGCTGAAGAGCTGAAGGACAGCGCCCAGGCCCAGAGTTCAAGCCCCACGACCGACAAAAAAAAAAAAAAAAGGGCTGGGATGTAGCTCAGCGGCAAAGTGCTTGCCTAGCAAGTGCAACGTCCTGGGTTCGATCCCCAGTACCAAAAAAGACAAAAACATTAGCCTGAGACAAAAAAAAAAGTCTGAGAAGCCACTGGTGAAGTACTACGGTTCCCAGATGCTATGCCTTCATTAATTATTCTTCTACAAGACTCCAGGAAAGAAACATTCCATTTTTATGACTAGAATCTGCTTATGCTTTTTTTGACTTTCAGTTCTTCTCACTTCATTCTCATATCTTGTTCTTATGAACCATATCTTGTTCTTATGAAGCAGTTATTAGTCATCATTTATAGGTGCCTTTCAATTAAACATAATGTCCAAACTTACATCATTCCCAGATCTCTTCCCCCAGAATAGAAAGAAAAGCCCTCCCACAGCCTTACCTTCAGCAGATTTAGGACCTTCTTGCCAAGTTCCAGCTCAAAGTTGGCATAATTAGAACCACACATGTCATAGATAAACACTAGTCCATTCCTTTGAGTTTCAAAGCTGTAAACCAAATCATTCAACAAAAACATTTGTTCAGTGCAAATGTCTTTATTCAACAAAAGCTAGGTATTAACTGGCTTTTGATATGCATACCAAAAAGATCATTACCAACATCATTGTGTGATTAGACTACTCATATATAGGTGCATTTTTTTCACATGTATTTAGAATTGAAAAAACACATTTCTGAGGCCAGAGGGGTATGTATGTGTGTGTGTGTGAGAGAGCTTTTTTGCTCAAGAATAGCATTCTACCACTTGAGAAACAGTTCCATTTCTGAGTTTTTGGTGATTAAGAGATCAGTCTTAATGGACTTTCTTGCCCAGACTGGCTTTGAATGGTGATTTTCAGATTAGGATTACAGGCGTGAACCACTGGCGCCTGGCTAAGTGAGGCTCATTTTCTGCTTTACCTTCGAGAAGTCTTTCATCCATTTACCCCTTTAAAAATATCCAAGAAAGAAGCCCACACCCAGAAGGTAACATTTTTTTTTTAAATCTCTAATTTTAAGGCATATACAAGGTTTTCCATCAGATGTTGTTTCTAAGAATCCCACAATGTCTTACATTAGTATTAAACAATAATTAGTACTTTTTCACGATCCCAGAGACTATAGTTTTCTGACATCAAAGGTATACCAACATGTGGCACAATTAGTGAGCAGACCAGCCAGTCTAGAGAATTTCCGTTTCTCCATGTACTCATCTAAGGCCAGTTTTTAAAATTACAGGTTTTCTTCTCAAAGGCCCTGATTTGTGCTAACAAGCTGAAATGGAAGTCAGTGACAGGAAAGAGAATGTAATAAAAAGCAGGTTGTATATTCTTCCCAAATCAAACTGCTATCCTGTGAAAACACATAGGGTAAATACAAATACAGAGTCTTGCTTTTCTTGGTATAGAATATGAGGTGTACAAATATGGCAGACTGCCTCCCTGCCAAGCTTGATTTCTACATTGTATGTTACAGGGGAGACCAAGAAGTTTCAAACACAAGTGGGGGCCAATGGTTCCTGCCTGTAATCCCAGCTACTCGGGAGGCTGAGATGGGAGGGTCACAGGTCAAAGCCAGCCCAGGCAAGAAAGTCCATCAAACTTTTTTCTAATTAGCAGCAAAAAGCCTGAAGTGGAGCTGTGGCTCAAGTGATAGGGGACTATCCTTGAGCAAAAGACACTCAAGGACAGTTCAGCCCTTGAGTTCAAGCTCCAGGTCTGTCACACACAAAAAAGCCATAGTCCCTGTCATTTGTTTGAAAAGAACCTGGAGAAGGGAGGGATATGTGAGGGCCAATCGATGAAGCAAGACTGCAGAAAACAGATGACAGACAGGTGAATATTTATGAAAGCATTCTCTTCCCATCACAAACACTGAGAAATATTCACTTATATAATGTTAAAAAGGTTCCTTGCCTTTAAGGAAGTCACATATTAGGGTTACATAGAAAAACAAAAACAACAACAGCAACAAAAAAACTCTAAGCAAGGTCTGGGTGGCTCATGCCTGTAATCACAGCTACCTAGGAAGCTGAAATCTGGAGGATCATGGTTTACAACAAGCCTGGGCAGAAAACTCTGAGATTCTATCTTTAATTAACCAGCAAAAAGCCAGGATGGAGGTATGGCTCAAGCAGCAGAGTGCCAGTTGAGAGCAAGAAAGCCAAGCAAAAGGCCCTAGTTTAAGTCTTAGTATTGGTGCGTGCATAGAAGCGCATGTGCACACCCACATATACATATACACACACACACAGAAATCTATTATTAGTATGTTAAAGTAAATGGCATCCATGTGCCATGTACTATTTTTGGGGGGGAAGAGGCAGTGCTGAAGGATGAAACTCAGGGCCCTGGTAAATGCTGTACCACTAAGCCAATATGCACAGCCAAGGCTATGAACAATTAAGTCCATAATGCAGCATTGGTAGTAACTGTCATGAAGGTCAGAGTAAGAATTTCATTCATGGCAGGTTGAAGTGTGAGAGCCAGTGATAACACAAAGGCAAGACTTAGTGAAGGAAGGGAGAGGAAAGACCATTCTGGTTTTCCAGTCATGGGAGAAAGTATTTTGCTTGAAGGGCTCACATCTGGTTAGCACACATGTGTCCACTGGATGATGAGAAATCACTGAGGTTTTTAACCAAGGGATGAATATTATAAAAACAAAGTTGCAATTCTATTTATGTATTATGCTATTTGGCCCTAGTGTAGGATAACAAACTCACGCTGGCAAAGAGCAAGATTTGGCTTCTGTCCCACAGCTGACCACCGCCAAACAGTTGGCCAGGCCTACATGACAGTTCACCCAAACAGGAAAGTCAAGCTGGAATACGAAAGGACCATCTCACTCGTCTTCCTGAGCTAGTGGGGCAATTCACACATTCTCACATTTTGACAAGTATGCTAAAGACTTGCCACAGGAAAGGGGAGCTGAGAAACCCCACACCTCTACTAAGAACCACTGACACTGCTGCCCCTCACTCCTGAACAACTTCATCGGTTCAGAATTATATTGTATGTGGGATGTGGATTTCTCTCTTGCAGCATAAGCAAAGTACTGGGAAAGCAATGGGAACAAGGCAACACAAGCGAACTGGACAGGGAGTCCTAGCTCAGACAATCCTTTGGCTGCTTCCAGCTTCTAAGTGCACAGCCTGCCTGAAGTTGTACACCATGCTCTCTCGCTGCCTCAGTTCTCTATAGCACTTGCTGGTATGTTGGATGGTTGGCTGGATGAACCCAGGATCGTTCAGCAAGTCTTTACTGGAGCCACGCTACCAGCCTTTTTATTTCTGACTAGGTCTCACTCGCTTTACCTGAGTGTACAGGACTGCACCACAACACCTAGCTCCTTCTTATCCACAGGACTAGGCAAAGACATCAAGAGCAGTAACAAGAGATAAATGGCAAACCCAAGGGAAAAAAAGATGCAGAGCAGGAAATCAGCCTAACAGAGTAGAAACAGCTCAGGCCAAGAGCAAAGCAAGCAAGACCTGAGACCAGGCTGAGCCCCCCACAGGAAAACAATTCAACAAAAGCCCCACAGTGGCAGACTGCAGCCTTAGAATGTGCATGGCCCCGTGTTCAAACCACACCATGGGGGAAAAAAGTGCAGGGAACTTCTTTGTTCTTTACTTTCTCTGTTTATATAATCTCATTCTCCTGAGGGGAGAAAGAGACCTGGCATAAGCTTGTTCTTATTCCTATGTGTCTGTTTTTACAATCAAAGCTATTTTGCCTAACTTCATACTTTTTTTGTTTTGTTTTGTTTTTGTCGGTCATGGGGCTTGAACTCTGGGCCTGAACGCTGTCCCTCAGCTCTTCAGCTCAAGGCTAGTGCTCTGCCACTTGAGCTACAGCACCACTTCTGGTTTCCTGGTGGTTTATTAGAGATTATAGAGTTTCACAGACTTTCCTGCCCCAGCTGGTTTTGAACTGCGATCCTCAGATCTCAGCCTCCTGAGTAGCTAGGATTACAGGCATGAGCCACCAGCGCCTGGACTAACTTCATATTTTTGAGCTCTTCCCCCTGAATAGCAATTTTCAAAAATCCTGAGGCAAGCATGATTCCTATTTCACAAAGAAACCGAGGCTGGTGGAGGGTTTTTCTTGTTTTTGTTTTTAATTTTTCTTGGGGTGTGTTTGTGTGCCTGTCCGTCTGACTGAGACAGGATGTCACTGTGTAGCCCAAACTGGTCTTTCACTCATGATCCTCCGGCCTCATCCACTAGGGAACTACAGTTAGTCACATGCCCCTAGGTTTGTGATAAAAGCAAAAAGAATCTGGGCAAGTAATTTTATCCCCTCTAACTTCCAATAAGTGAATCAATTGCTAAGAACTGGCTCTTCCATATCGATTTCTGGAAATAGATCCACAGAACACATCTCAACAGTCACCCGCAAACAGGTTACACCCTTCAAAACATGGGCTGTTTAGTATTCACTGTGCTGCCCAGGGCACAGCCCAGAGCCAGAGGAGGAATGAACCTGCTACACTGAATCAAGTCAGAAACCGTCCCAGCTCTGTCCGGGCTTACCTATCCACCGCTCGGTCTAGCAAGTAGAACAGAGCCTGAAGAACCACGTGCGGGACTGACTTGTGGGGATGATGCAGTCTGGCAGTGAAGAGAGCAATGGAAGCTCCAGTTGGGTCCCGAACATTCTAGAGCAAATAAAGAGAAGAAACATTTGGAAATAAAATAGAATGTCCTAACAACCACGAAGTCTCACACCCTGGATCCAGAGTTGGCACAGGAAGAGAAGAGATGCTGGCAGTATGTCCCTGACTGGAATCCATTGCTTCAGAAAGGAAAAATACTATCCTCCCACGTGCCCGGCTCTCGCAGCACCTCCTGCACTACATCTACATTGTTGTGGTAAGGAAAAATGGAAAATCCCCTTTTTGTTTTTTGTTTTTGGTCTTCCAGTGCAAGTGACCAAAGGATGACTTTAAACTGGCTTCATAGCTCATATCCCAAGCAGGAAGGTAGAAGAAACCAGCAGCAGGATCACCAACTGCTTTATTATTATGATTTTTTAACCCATTTCTGTTTCTTATACACGTTATACACACAGCCTGACCATAATGGGTGTGTGTGTGCACGCGCATGCGCACTGCTACCAGTGCTTAGACTCAGGATCTCATTATTTTGCTTGGCTTCTTTGCTCATAGCTCTACCACATAAGCCACGCTTCTGGACTATGCCATGCTGCTGTAAATCCCTGGTCATATCCTTACCTGAGAGGCCAAGAGGTCTCTGGGAAGTGGAGAGGTCCCATTAAAGAAGGAAAGGGCTCAAGGGGTAGAGAGCTAACCTTGAGCACAAAAGCTTAGAGACGGTGGCCGGGCCCCAAGTTCAAGCCCCAGGATGGAAATGGGGGAGGAGGGAGACTGATATGCTGGGGATATGAAGGGTTAAGAAGAAAGAAATGAAGGTGATGCACATGATCCAAGTACATTATATGTATGTATGGAAACCACACTTTTTGAGAAGGAAAGGATGTGTTCTTACACATTAGAGACCCACTGCAGGCCTTTAACCTGAATGGAGCAATGAGAAACTTTTCTAAGTCTCCTGTAAATTAACTATCCATAATTTTTGTGGTTTTTTTTTTTTTTTTTGGTTGGTCATAGGGCTTGAACTCAGGAACTGGGCAAGATCCCTGAGCTCTTTTGCTCAAGGCTAGCGCTCTACCACTTGAGCCACAGCTCCATTTCTGGTGGTTCACTGGAGATAAGAGTTTCACAGGCTCACCTGCCACGTCTGGCTTCGAACTGTAGCCTTTCGATCTCAGCCTCCTGAGTAGCTACAATGACAGGCCTGAGCCACCAAGCCACCAGTTTCAATCTTTTTAACTATTAGTAGAAATGTCAACAACTTGTAATTATGAGTAATTCAATTGTTATTAGGTACCTCACATCTACTCCTGACTGTGGTTAAGACACCAAGGGAGGGCTGGGAATGTGGCTTAGTGGGAGAGTGCTTACGTACCATGCATGAAACCCTGGGTTCAATTCCTCAGTACCACATAAAACAGAAAAAGCTGGAAGTGGCACTGTGGCTCAGGTGGCAGAGTGTTAGCCTTGAGCAAAAGAAGCTCAGGGACAGTGTCCAGGCCCTGAGTTCAAGCCCCAGGACTGGCAAAAAAAAGGGGGGAGGGGGAATCCAAAGAGAACAGATACGACAGGAAGCTGCAAAGCACTGCCAAGATATCTTCACACTCACTAGGATGGTGAACTTGCCACTGAGGATCTCAGAACGGAGCGGCTCCTCATGAGGCTTCAGCTTCACGATGCCTTCCTTTCTTCTTGTTTCCTGCAAAAGAAGCGTATCAAGATGAATATAAAAATAACTACACCCCCAGGACAGTGTCACGGAACCACCACATCTCAGAGATAAGGAATAGGAGATAGCAACTGAGTTGTGAATTACTTTGCAACCTCCCTTTCCCAACCAAATTCCTGTCCACAGCTATCTCATCAGCCCTTACATATCGAATACTATCTGTAAGAATCCTAACCCTGAAAAACAACTCATGAGTAACATTAAGGTAGCAGATCCAATTTCTTTTTTTTTACCCCCTGAATGAGTCCTGTTTGAACTCAGGACCCAGGATGCTGTCCCTCAGCTTTTTCACTCAAGGCTGGTGCTGTACCACTTGAGCCACACCTCCATTTCAGAGTTTCATTGAAGATAAAGAGTCTCAAGAACTTTCTTACCTCGCCAAGCTTTGAAGTGTGATCCTCAGATCTCAGCCTCCTGAGTAGCTGGGATTACAGGGGGGAACCACCAGTGCCCCCCCGATCTTTCTGCTTTTCAAACCCTTCTACGACGACCTCCATCTATTCTAATGGTTCCAATATTCTGTTTTAATTATGCTGAGTTCTCTTTTCAGCCACAATAATTTTCTCCTTTTTTTTTTTTTGCCAGTCCTGGGGATTGCACTCAGGCCTGGGCATTGTCCCTGAACTTCTTTTGCTCAAAGCTAGTGCTCTCCCACTTGAGCCGCAGCGCCACTTCTGGCCTTGCTCATCTCTGCTTTGATCTCTTTGCTCCCACTCCCCCTCTGACACAGCTAGGTTTCTCTCTGTCCACCTCCTGGCATCTGCCTGCCACACTCCTGTCGCTGCCTGATTCCTGCTCATGCTTCAGATCTCAGTTAGAACTGATTTTTTTTTTTCCCCCATGGGGCTTGAACTCTGGGCCTGGGCACTGTCCCTGAGCTCTTCAGCTTAAGGCTAGAGCCCTGCCACTTGAGCCACAGCGCCACTTCCGGCTTTTTTTTTTTTTGCTTATGTGGTGCTAAGGAATCGAACCCAGGGCCTCATGCATGCAAGGCAAGCCTTCTACCACCGAGCCACCTTCCCAGCCCCCACTTTCAGTTTTTGAGTAGTTAGTTGGTGGTAAGAGTCTCACGGGAACATTCCTGTCTAGGCTGGCTTCAAACCTTGATCTTCAGATCTCAGCCTCCTGAGCAGCTCAGATGACAGGCATGAGCCACTGGCGCCTGGCTCACATAGCATTTTTATCAAGGATATTACTAAGAAAGTAAGCATTAAGCTGGAGGTGTGGTGCGTGTGTGTCTGTGTGTGTATACAGAGAGAGACAGAGACTAAGAAACAGTGAAGAGGAAGAGGAAGAGTAGAAGAGGGGGAAGGAGAAAGAGGAGGAGGAAAGAAAGAAAGAAGAATCAATGCAGAACCAAAGTTTGATCCCGCTTAAAAAATATAAAAAAATTATAACTACAGTAAAATGCTGGTGTAGCTGTATTCACAAAAGGTACTGTTAAGACCTGGATCTTAATATAATGGTTCTTTTTTCCCAGCACTAAAGCTCTTCTTCTTAAATGACTCTCTAAACTCGGCATTCATCTGAAGAAAAGGTTTCTAAACTTCCCAGATATCCTGAAAACCTGTGGAGTAAATGGGACAGGTCACCAGGGGACGGAGCACAAGTGAAGACTCAGCCAACTGCAGGAAGGATGAGCTACTATCCTGACAACAGGATGCGGTCAGGTGTCAGAACAGGTGGCATCTACCCTGTTCTATCGTCAAAGTCTGGACACCAGTGGTTGACGCCTGTAATCCTAGTTATGCAGGAGGCTGAGATCTGAGGATAATGGTTCAAAGCGAGCCTGGTCAGGAAAGTCTGTGAGACTCTTAGGTTAACCACCAGAAAACTGGAGACAGAGCTGTGGCTCAAAGTGGTACAGTACATGGGCTAGAAATGTGGCTTAGTGGTAGAGTGCTTGCCTAGCATGCATGTAGCCCTGGGTTTGATTTTTCTATATCATATAAATACAAAAAGTCAGAAGTAGCCCTGTGGCTCAAGTGGTAGAGTACTAGTCTTGAGTAAAAGAAGCTCAGGGACAGTACCCAGGCCCTGAGTTCAAGCCCTGTGATTGAAAGGGGAAAAAAAACAAAAAACCAAACAACTTTAGGGACAGAAATGTCTTTGCAAAAGTTCCCCTGCTGGGGCTGGGAAGGTGGCTCAATGGTAGAGTGCTTGCCTTGCATGCCTGAGGCCCTGGGCTTGATTCCTCAGCACCAGGTAAGCAGAAAAAGCCAGAAGTGGCTCTGTGGCTCCAGTGTTAAGAGCGCTAGCTTTGAGCTAAAGAGCTGAGGGACAGTACCCAGGTCCAGAGTTCAGGCCCCACCATGGTCAAAGAAGGAAAAAAAAGTACCCCTGCTCACCATGACTCTACAGTCTCAAGCATTCGTGTTTCTCAGCCAGAGAAAGGTGTGTATATGAAGAACAACAGAAAGAACATGAAAACGTAGAAAGCATCCCCCCCCCCGCCGCCCCATGCACCTACTCTGTATGAATGGAACAACTCCACAGCACGGAGCACATCAAACTTCCTGGCCATGAGGAACTTGACGGCGACATTCCATGACAGCGGAGACACGTTGTACTGGACTGTCCACTTGTTTATCTCCTCAAGAAACTGCTTGGTAGCCTGTTGACAAACAAAGAATTAATACACACACACACACACGTAGGAAACAAAAAAAAAAAAAGCTGGCAAAATTATCATTCTTTCCCCAAGCCAGAATGAATCTAGAGTTTACAAAGTTTACTGCAGGTAACAAGAAAAGACAAGAGAGCCGGGGGCTGGTGGCTCACACCTGTAATGCTAGCTACTCAGGAGGCTGAGACCTGAGGATCATGGTTCAAAGCTAGCCTGGGCAGAAAAGTCCTTGAGACTCTTATTTCCAATAAACCACTTAGAAAACCAGAAGTAGAGCTGTGGCTCAAGTGGTAGAGCACTTAGCCTTGAGCTGAAGAGCTCAGGGACACCAGGGCCAAAGTTCAAGCCCCATCACTGACAAAAAGAAAAAAGACAGGAGAGAAAGAAACAGGTCTAAAGTCAAATAGTTTGAAACGATATACAAGGCAATACATGGCGATGCATGAGAAAATGACCAGGGGGAGACCAGGGCTCCTCGATGTGATGTTTGTTATTGGTCCCAAAGCAAAGCAAAACAAAACAAAAACCCATCCGAATCGTAGTGCATAGTTTGAAGGGACGAATGCAAGGGCGCTGGAAAGGACTGTTGCATAATGGTGCAGAACAGCCATCTCAGCTGCTGCTCTGGTCCCACAAGCGAACTGGACAGAGCAAAACAATCAGCAAATGGCTTGGACTTTGGAATTAGCAGCACTAGTTAATAGCAACAACCTACCAGGAGGAACTGAATAAATCAAAAAGCCAGCTATTCTTGTGCTCACTGACCCCACAGAATCTTGCTGGGCCTTATCTGGCAGCCCCCTCCCAGGGAGTCGCCAACAGTCGCCTGAATCCTCAGCCCCCACCTCAAGCTGGCAAGACGCCTGTTTCTAGAATTGTTGGAAGCCCTAGACCTCCCTATGATAACTAATTTCTGCTCTAGCCAAACTACCCTTCTATTTCTTTAGAGTGATGAGAGTTTTGTACAGTTTACTCTGCATTGCATGGCTCTCCTCTCTCTTCTGTCTAGAAACGTTCCCCAGGTATTAGAGTCCACAGTATGATCAACCTACTGAGAATTCTGAATTTTAAACACACCCTCATTATCATTTGACCCACATTTAAGATGCATTTATTCATATTAAAACCTACTTAGTAAGCCACTAACTGTGGATAAAAGCAAAAGTATGTGGGGCTTCAGTGGCTCATGCCTGTCGTCCTAGCTACTCAGGAGGCTGAGATCTGAGGACAGAGGTTGAAAGCCAGCCCAGACAGCAAAGTCCGTGAGATTCTTATCTGCGATGGATCACACCAAAAAGCCACAAATGTGCTGTGGCTTACAAGGGTAGTGTGCTAGCCTTGAGCACAAAAGCTCAGGGACAGTGCTCAAGCCCTGAGTTCAAGCCCCAGAACCAGCTCAAAACAAACAAACAGTACAGTGACACTGTCTGCTTGCTTAGTCTGCAAGACCCTGGATTCTATCTTCAGCATGGGGGGGGGGGGAAGGAGAGAAAGGAGACAAAACCAAACAAAATAAAACCACATTTGCTCCAAAAGATGTACAAGTGACTAGGCACAAGGGAAGTACACTCATTTTTCCAGTTGAAAATAAGGGGGAAAGTACACTCATTTTTCCAGTTGAAAATAAGGGTGGCGAGAGTAAAGGCAATACTGGACTTGAGAGCTTTGGCCGTAGGCCCTGCATGGAGAATGCTGGCCACAGGCCCTGCCTGGCCAAGGCCGTCCATACCGCCACACATTATGTTTGAACAACTAACTGGAATCCTAGACTAGTTAGCAGAGGCTCCCCGCTGAGCACCTCCTTCATCCCTCATTTCTACAAAGTGACAATGGAACTTTGTACAGCAGCGAGAAGTGAGGTGTGAGAGGCTGCATCTGAGTTCTAGAGCCTTCCGCCGGAGGCATTGGAGAAAGGAGACAAGCAGCAATGCTAATCAGGCACAGCCAGTGAAAAGAGCCAAGAAACAGAAAGAAAAGAGCCAGATCACACTGGCTGGGCATCAGCTGACACCAAACCAGGGGAAATGAGCCCGAGAAAAGGCAACTGGACAAACTTAAAAAATGCTCCCCACCCCCCCAAAAAAAACCACACACACACAGTCTGAGTTGTTCTGCAAGATTAGAGGCCAGTATCAGAATGAGGAAGGACAGTAAGGAAAAGACGTGGGCATACAGCGAGCCTACAAACCCCAGTACATTAAGGGTGTCCCCAGGAAATGTGCAAATAGTATTTTTTTTGGGGGGGTCCGGACGTGGGGCCTGAACTCTGGGCCTGGGCTCTGTCCCTCAGCTCTTCAGCTCAAGGCTAGTGCTCTACCACTTGAGCCACAGCGCCACTTCTGGCTTTTTATGTAGTGCTGAGGAATCGAACCCAGGGCCTCATGCACACAAAACAAGCATTCTACCATTGAGCCACTTTCCCAGCCCGCAAACAGTATTTTTTTTTAACAACCATCTTCTTTTAAATCCGTCCTATAGTGAGCTTCCTTGAAGCTATTTGTAGAATAAAACACCAGAATAGAAACATACTTACCCCACTGTTTAGCAGAGTATACAATATTTCCAATAAAAAGAAGGAAGAAATAAATTGATGCTCAGGGTGCAAGGAAGTGATCTGAGCTTCTCAGACATGAACTACACCAAGATGACTTGTCTTTGTTCATAAATAAATTACTAAGAAGAGGAGGAAGACACATGTATCACTATGGCCTGATGAGAGAAAGGCATGAAGTTCTTATTCCCTCCCTTCCAAGTACCTCTTGCTTTTTTTTTTTTTTTTTTAAATAAACTCACTCCAAGGTTCTTAATGTCCTGTAGCTCCCAAGAGCTAGCCTGGAGCTGACCTCTGTCCCCCTGCTGGCCAGGATGTTATTCTTGGCATTCAGCATGGGAACAATTCCTCCTGCTGTGGCCTGGACCAGGCCTTGCCTGAAAAGTCCAGTGTACTGTAAACAGGGCTGTGCTATTTACACAGATTCCGCTTGCTCTGCTTGGCCTCCTGAGCCCCATGCCTCTGGTGAAAGAGATGAACCTCGGAAAGAAGAAACGAGGAGCCCCATGTCTTCCACTGGCCTCCTCCAGGACCCTTGCTCAGTGCTCTGTGTGTGAGCACACAGATCGGGCCTTAACCACTGAGCACACACACTTTGGTGGGTAGCCTGGCTAGTTACCCGAAAAACAAGTCCCAGCACGTGTAGTGAGCAATACGCTCTTCAGGAAGGAGCATCGAAAAGCATCAAATGAGTACCCGTCCCATTTCCTGCTCCAAGAATGAACAGGTCAAAAAGATGACTCACAGTTTAGAAAATATTTTAATTCAAGGCCAGTGGTTTGAATGGATCCAGGCCCAAGAGCAGGCGCAGTGGGTAATGCCTGGCAGCTAGGGAGGGCTGGGCCGAGGAGCCTCAGTCTCCCCTCTAGAAAAGACATGAAGTAATTAATGTAAAGGAAAAACAAACTTCACTTACAGCCACTCAACTAGATTATCAATAAACATGTGTTTCCCAATAGTCAAAGGCTTAGTATAATTACATATTTCCACAATTAGGTTTAAATAACTAAAACCAAGTTTCCTAACCGTGACTAAGAGTCTTAATGGTACTAAGAGAACCTTCTATAAAATAGCTGAGATTTGGAGAGAATAAGCGAGGGGTGACATTGTTGAAAAGGAAATGTACTCATTACCTGAATCATTCATTAACTGGAACCCCTCTGTACATCACCTTTACAATGAAAATTTAAAAAATAAGATAGCTGAGAAGCTAGGTGACGGTGGCTCATGCCATGCTTATAATCAAACTACTCAGGAGGCTGTGATCTGAGGATAGCAGTTCAAAGCCAGCCTGGGCCAGAAAGTCCTTGAGGCTCTTACCTCCAATTAACTACCAAAAAAAAAAAAAAAAAAGCCGGAAGGGACTGGGATTTTGGCTCAGTGGTGGAGCACTTGCCTAACATGCATGAGACCCTGGGTTCAATTCCTCAGTACCACATAGGCAAACAAAAGAAAGTCGAATAAAAAATAAAAAATATTTTTTAAAAAAAGCGAGAAGTGGCGCTGTGGCTCAAGTAGTAAAGTGTTAGCCTTGAGCACAAACACACACACACACACGCACACACGCACGCACGCATGCACGCACGCTCAATACCAGCCGCTAGTGTGTTGAAATGATGGTATCACAGAGATTAACACCAAAAATTCCCAAGAGGATAACCACCTAAAAGGTTCAAAAACAGAAACAAAACCAGTGCTGGTATTCTTGTTTCATAGGCAGAATCGTAAACGAGGACAGCCCGGGAAGAGGAAAACAGAGGAAACCTGCTCCTGAAGTAGAAAACTCCTCTCCCCCGAGGAAGCGGCCACCCTGCTCCACCCAGGAGCAAGTCTGGCACGGGTCTGGAAGTCAGGAGATCACTCCACTCCCCATCCACCTCCATGCTATTCATGCTCTCATACTCTCTCATGCTTTGGGGTCTGAACTTAGTGTTTCAGGCAGGCGCTCTACCATTTGAGTCACGACTCCAGTCCTTTTGTTTTTTGACAGTCCTGGAGCTTGAACTCGGGGCACTGTCCTTGAGCCTCTCTGTGCTCAAGGCTAGCACTCTACCACCTGAGCCACAGCACCACTTGTGGCTTTTTCTGTGTATGTGGTACTGAGGAATTGAACCCAGGTCTCCATGCATGCTAGGCAAGCACTCTACCACTAAGCCACCTTCCCAGCCTCCAGCCCTTTTTGATCTGGTTGGAGTTGGGTTTTTATTTTGGTGGTACTGGGGTTTGAACTCAAGAGGCTCACACTTGCTAGGCTGTCCCTCTACCACTGGAACCACACCTCCAGTTCAGCTTTTTGCTGGTTACTTTGGAGATGGAGTCTAGAGGACTTTCCTCTAGGGTAGTCGCAAACGGTGATCCTCTAGGTCTTAACTTGTGAAGTAGCCAGGATTACAGGTGTAAGCCAGGGTCACATGGTATGGTGGTTTTGAAGGTAGGGGCAGGATTTCACTTTTTTGCACAGGCCAGACCAGAGAGCAGATCATGATCCTCCTGTTTACACTTTCCACTGGACTGGGACGACAGGGATATACCGCCATACCTAGATTTTTCGGTTGAGAGAGCATCTCATTTTTTTGTTCTATTTACATTTTTGGCCTGGATTGAGCAGGAACCACTGGATCCTCCCCCATCTCAGCCTATCACCTTGCTAGGATTGCAGGGTAAGTAAATGAACGGCTGTTTCGTTTTGGTTTTGGGGTTTCAACTCAGGGCCTTTGCACTTGCTCACAGGTGTCCCAACACTTAAGCTACAACCCCCAGCCTATTCTCCTTCTGAGTTTATTCTAGTCATTTTACACTAAAATTTCTTCTAACAGAAGCAATTGTATGCCCTGTATTGTTTCCCTGTAGCCTATTATCATCAATTCAATCTCTCTAATCCACTTTATTCAAAGAAAAAAAAAAAAAAGAAAAAAGATCTCCCGATGTAGCCCAGGCTAGCCTTGAATTGGGCAATTCTGCCCTGGTGTCCCAGTGCTGGGACAAAAGCCTACATTTAAATTAGAAATCTCCAATATGCATTTATCTGTGAGAAAGAATTCTCTAACAGGGAAAATCCTC